CGCCGGGGGGGGGCGCACAAAAAAAAGCGCCCCGCCCCCCCCGCCCCCCCCCCCCCCCCCCCCCCCAACTCACTTAGCACCCGATGCTCTACAACAGATGCGAAAGACTCGCTGTGAATCTCGACCCGAGGTAAGACGAACGCCATCTAATTTTCTCTTGAAAGTATGACGTTAAGAAAACAACACTTATGCTTCTGATTCGTATCTCACACTGTAAAAACAACATGTATAAACGGTAGCAGCTCATTAATTACTGCCAGTATAGCTCTAGTAGACCGGCAAACATTGACATGCAGTCAGACACACCAACTGGTTACTATGAGAAAGACTACTGATATCCGGATACTTTTACATATGGGTGAATAAACATGAGCGTATGCATCTTTATCAGTTAGTGATACCTTTATGCCCCATACCTTCCCGTAGGTCTCATTTTCTCTCCTGACATTGGACTGCAAGGCAGTCGCAAACAGCTGTTCGGAACTGTGGTATTGCTACTGTTACCTGTTCAGGTATGCATTGTCTTCTACGCGGTCATCGGTATCCCAAGACCTTCCTTTATCGCGAGCACGCTAAATATAGGTATTGATTTCGCGCCCACAAATTCGAAAATTCGATCGATCAGTGAAACAAGCGGGACTAGAAACAGATTGAGCAGTGAGCAAAAAGGGTCTGGTATCTTCTCCCCGAACGGCGTGTCGTTCTCGCCGCACGCGATCGTGCGTTGTGAAGGGAAAGATTCGAATTCGCAGTGGAAGGGTACGGAGAGTAGCCGCGGAACCACTGCCGCAGGCCGTGGGAATTCGAGGAGAAGTTCCGTCACCCGCGGTGACGGAACAGTTAGGTTAGGTTTCCATATCGACCCGTTCGTATACTGATATCTACTTTGCGGGAGGAGCAAGTAACATTTCAAGCGTTGACGAACTGATATGGGAACCAGAAGAATCCTGGCTCAGACATAAACACGACCTTCCAAACGTTTTCTTTGGATACGGTTCAAAGTTAAACGGTCCATTACAGCTGTGGAAAGCGCCTACTTCAACCTGTAGATAACTATAAACAGTTCACCATTCGAGTCAATCTTCTTGTGAACCCTCGGTTCAAAGTTGCAGTCGTCAGCTACTCTAAAGATCGATCCTCATGAGGTGGTTGTCCGGACAAACTCTCTGGGAGGCTGAAAATACCTAAAATGACATTTTGTCTTTGATTATCTGAAAACTTTTAAGGAAGAAAATTGCATGAATGGCGTCTACATCTGCTGAAAAGGTAAAAAGGCCAGGTGCATTCAATTTACCTTCAACCTCAGAAAGCAACCGGCTTGAAACGAGAGAACCGAAAGTAGAATTTGAACCTCTTGGGTAAGATTTTGTTGTAAAAAGGGAAAGGTAGATGAAATATTCGAATGAAAGTAGCATGGCCTGTCGTGGTGTCAAAGGAGAACGATTCACTCTTTGCTCCTGAAACGCTTTCCGTCCATGCTTCTGACAAACTGAAAGCATAGGAATCGCGTCATTTCGTCGTCACGACGAGCCCTATCGCTGCTATTGCAATGATGAGCTTTTAAGTGATGGAGACGACGCCAACTTGGATACGGAAACTTCCGGGAATGCACCAAGTCGTTCTAAAAGTGAGGATTCAATTTTTAATACCAGTAGGGGCTGATTCGGCCCACTTAACGCACAGCTGACAGAGACATCCGTTCTGCGAACTAGCTACTCACGGTAACCGTCGACTGAAGATGAGCCCATGAGCTTTAAAAACAGGGTTCCAAACAATTTTGTATCGGCGACAGGCCCCAAAGGTATACACTAGACCCCTACTTCCACGCTGAAATCGGATCGTTGCTTACTGAGTTTACAGGAAGCGTCATTGCCTGTGATCCCTGAGCTTAGGAAGCGCATACTGAGCTACTCAGACAGTTTATTTCAGCTATAAGCCAGCCAAAAACACAAAGTAGGGATATAACTCGAACGCCAAAAACGTCGACACCATCATCATCAAATAAACGCAGTCGAACTCGTTGTCAGGTTAAGTTCTAACTACGTTTTTCAAAAACGATTCGAGCATTCAGCGATGACTGCCATGTCCGAAAATAGAAGTCGTGCTATTATCCAAACTCAGGACAATTTTCGTTTCTGTACAGGAAACTATTAAATAGAAGAAAAATTGGGAGCCAAACCGAGTTTTTCACCCCGAAAATCGCGACCTTCCCCACAGTCGCGCGCTATGAAGGGATAGGTTTGAATTCCCAATGAGAGGCTGCTTTCAGACTTCAACGCCCGCCCGCCCGTCCGTCGCGTGCGGTGTTGACAGCGCTGGCACGTGTTCTAGCCAGCAACTGTCTAGCGCCGCCGTCGCAGAACGCCCGCGCCTGACAGATGGACGGACGGACAAGCGTCGAAGTCTGAAAGCAGCCAAAGGATACGATAGACGGTTTTCATGGTCCGCGGCGAACGAGCGACTGGGGTACTACTCTTAAGGTGGTGTCGACCATAATTCAGTTGTAAACAAGGAGTAAGTGCCACCCCCGGTCGGTCGCGGGCCACATCGCGGACTATGAAAGCAGCCATAGCCGCCGCGAAACCGCTGCCGTTTGCCGTGGGAATTAGAGGAGAACTACGGCTGCCCTCCCGAATGGAAATCGAGTTTGTGGCACATCGCAAAAAGGGTTTGTCTAACGCTGAGCGATACACCCTTATATAATAATATTTATTACAGAAATGGGCTCTGTGCACCATAATCATACTTGCCATCCTTCTGGTGATCACAGCAACACTGACATTAATCCTGTTCCTACATTTGAAAGGAGTAATCAACTGGTTCCCATCTCTGCATAATGCTGATGATGAAGAAGAATAAACGCAACGAGGACGATGACGACAATTTAGAAATTGAAAGATTTATGTATAACCTTCCCAGTTTACTTTCAGAAAGTTTGCTTTCGTTCAAACTTGCTATGCCGCAAAATTGTCGCAAAATAAAGTTTATATTGTAGATCCGTTCATTGAATTGCACATGGAGTTTTTATGATGATAATCGCAAAGCAGTTTTCATGGAAGCAATAGGTCTTTGATGTAGTGACACGTGTGGCTGGTTTCACAGTGAGGGGTGTGGGCACTCTCCGCCCCCCCCCCCCTACCACCCCTCCAGCGGAAAGATGCAGCAATTCTGTAGAACAACTGCCGCTTGCCGTTGGAATGCAGGTAGAAGTACCGCCGTCCCTTATTTATACATGTATGCGGTTGTTGACCAATTTTACTTTCCTTTGACAGCTTTTTGATTTGAACTCTACAATGTAGCGCAGAAGCTGACTAATACGCAACGTGTTGCGAACCAAAACACATAAGTATGCGGTTTTCAAGCCCGTCCCTGAAGGGCTGGGTGGTTTGGTAAGAACACCTCTTCTGTAGCCGCGTGCAGACGAGCGGCGGTGGCGCAATAAGCCAATGTTATCCTTGGCATGGTTGGGTGAAAAAGCNCCCCCCCCCCCTACCACCCCTCCAGCGGAAAGATGCAGCAATTCTGTAGAACAACTGCCGCTTGCCGTTGGAATGCAGGTAGAAGTACCGCCGTCCCTTATTTATACATGTATGCGGTTGTTGACCAATTTTACTTTCCTTTGACAGCTTTTTGATTTGAACTCTACAATGTAGCGCAGAAGCTGACTAATACGCAACGTGTTGCGAGCCAAAACACATAAGTATGCGGTTTTCAAGCCCGTCCTTGAAGAGCTGGGTGGTTTGGTAAGAACACCTCTTCTGTAGCCGCGTGCAGACGAGCGGCGGTGGCGCAATAAGCCAATGTTATCCTTGGCATGGTTGGGTGAAAAAGCAACGACCCACCTCGATCACGTGGCTTTGGCCTCTGGCTGCTTTCATACTCCGCCGGCCGACCCGCGAGCGAGCTGGCGCTAGGACTACTCGGCCGACGTATCGACTAAGATTCAGTCGTAAAAACAGGGCAAGCGCCGCCCCCGGCCGGCGCGCTCGCATTCCTGCCGGCGGACTATGAAAGCAGCGTCTGCGAATCTGCCTCAGAGAATAGCGTACCCTGGGATAACCAGGGCAGTATCGGTCTACCACAACAGTCGCGCATCGGTTATTCACGTTAGGTAGAGTCGTGAAGGCCAATTCCATCTGGACGCTGAAAGCAAATGACTCTTTACCTGACTATGCGAAAACATCAGTTTTCTGCTTCGCCGTCAGTTGTCTGACATGCTGCTACGGTAGAGAGCTGTTTCGAAGATCGCTTTGGTTCGTTCTTTCATCCCGCCCCCCTCCCCCTCAATTCACTTAGGACATTGTGC